AAGCAAATCTAATTTCAAATTCCAGCTGCATCATTTTATCATATGGCCTTTAAAAAGAAACCTCTAGAGTCTTACCAAAAAAAAAAAAATGTCCAAGGATCGCAATAGAGAATCTCCAAGTAGAACTGCCAAGTCTCTGCATTGTACCTCCCTCTTGGCATTCTCTCTCTCATCAATCTGGCCTGGCACTATCTCCCCACTAATGGATCATCTGTCCCATGTGTGTTCTCTCTAGCCTTCTGAAGGAGCTAGTCTGCAATATGGTTCTCGATGAACCATGCCTCCCTTGTAACCACACCTGTACCCACCTCCCTTCCAAATTGACTCTGGACAGGTCCTGTGACTACTTTCCCAATAGAATGTGGCAGAAATGATATGCCAGTCCTGGGCCTAAGCCTTAAGAGCACCTGGAATTTATGCCTTTGCATTCTTAGAAGCCGGCTACCACATAACTCCAACCACCCTGCTGAAGACAAAGGCCATGTGGAAAGGCCCTGGAGGATGAGACACCACATAGAGAGGCCACATGGAATAACATCAAGGCACCAGACAGGAGAGTGAAGGTGACATTTTGGAGGCTGCAGCTAGTTCAGCCTCCAGGACTTTGCCCCAGCCAACATCTGATTGCAACTGCATGAGAGACAAGACAGACCAGCAGAAGAACCACCCAACTGAGCCTTGTCAATCCACAAAACCATGTCAGATAATAATAAATTGTTGTTTTGAAACACTAAGTCTTGGAGTAGCTTGTTACATGGCAATAGATAAAACATCATTCCTTAATTATTCATAGCACAGCCCACTCTCTCCCACAGACACTCCTTATAAACTCCTGCAGCACAACTGCATGAACCCAAAATGGGAGAACTAAGGGTAGGGTGAAGGAAATCAAGTTTAAGGGTGACCCTCAGCAGCCATTTTAGTTTTGCTAGCAAACAGTGTCATATTCTGTTAGTACCCCAGAGGTCCAGACCGGCCAGCCAGATCCTGGATTCTAAGAATACCACCTAGTTCAAGGAAAGCTCTATTTTGTTTGCGTTCCAATCGCACTGTCCCCCAGAATTATTACCCAAAAGCTCTGGGAGGTTTTATAGATGCCTTATCGCATCCTCCATGTCCCTAATTTCTTATCTCTATTCAAGGTCACAGGAATTCCTGGACCCTGTTAGACCCTCCAACTTGTCCAGCCACCGGGCTTGACCTGGTACCATGTCTGTTTCTCTAAATCTTCCCCAGGATGGAGATCTAGGCTTCTCTATCCACCTTCCCCAAGAGCTGTTTCTTAGCCTTAATGTACCCCAGAAAGCTGGTGCAAATCTTCCCACATGTGGGGTTCCCAGGACTATGGAGGCGATCTCAGGCCTAGCTTGGAGCTGACAGAAATGCTCCCATATCCTCTATCTCTGGCCTCAGGTCTCTTCCTGTATCATATCTCTCAAATGATGTTAAAAGACTTCTCAATTCCTCTCCCTCGTCATAGCAGAAGAAACCCTCAGGAAAGATTTTTCTAATTGATTTTATCTGATAAGCAGCTGTGGGCCTTGGCTGTAAGGCCTCATTCCTTTGCTAGAAGTTGATGTTTCCCTCTGCGCATTCTTTGAAGAGCTGCACCACTCTCTGAGTAGGAAGGACCCTTGGGCCTACCAGAGACCTCTATACTTCTCTGCCTGTCCTGAGGTTTTCTTGCAAGCTGCTCTCTGGAAGCCAGATATGTGCTGTATCATTTCTTGAAATCTTGACCAAAGATACTGCCCCAAAAACCAAGACCTCCTCCAAGCTGACCTCCTCTTAAGGGCTGGCTGGCTGCCGGATCAGATCTGGTGACCTTAGAGTTTGCTCCCAACTCCCTTCCCCAGTGTACACTCCCCACAAAGGCTGGGTCTCTCAGTTCCCCTTGCTTCATCTGAACAAGGAAGATTCCCTTGGGAGGCATCCAGTGTGCACACAGTTTTCAGTGCCTCAATCCCCTCCACCAAGATAGGGTTTCCTGGTATCACTCTTTCCATTAGGGTGAAAGTTTCACTGGAATAGGGAGCAAATTAGAGATACCGTGCTCAGCCATGTACCCACAATCCCATCCCTCACCCAGGAAGCTAGTACAGTCCATCTGTCTGTACTTGTTTCTCCAACAGCTGCCCGGGCCTTCTGAACTCCATGCCCCCAAGCAAGCTCAGTGCCAGCTTTGTGCAAGCTCAGATGCCACTGGCTGACATCTCATGAGGTTTACCACCTCCAGTATCTTGGCTCCCCTCTCCAGTCTCATGAGTCCAGATGCTGGCCAGTCTACCCACCAGCCTGGGGAGCTCTACATTCTCTGAGTCTGTCCTTGAGGACTTACCCCGTCCCAAGGGACTCTACTTGCCTATCCTCTATCCCTACCCAGCCCTCAGCCTTGAGGTCCAACTTGCTCATGTAGGACGTTCCCAGGTGCCAAGCCCCTGACCCACAATCCCCCCTGTTGAAACTGCATCTGCTTGGGCCCTGAGAAGAGTCTCATCCAGTCCTTAGGCCACAGGACTCAGGCCCACTGTGGGAAAACCCCCCAGCTGGCTCTGAGTAAAGTCACACTTTGGGGTTTGCAGGGAAGATCCTCCAAGTTGCTTGTGGATGCTGTTGTCCTCATTTTAGCCCTAGAGGTTTAGCCAACCCTTAGCGACACTGTCACTAACATGCTGACCTCGGGGGCTGCGCTTGCCCTTTTTCCCATGGATCGAGACCCTTCGTTCACTTGCTATTTAGCACAGTTGAGCCCAGGTTATCATGTTTAAAAGTAGCACAGGCACAGGGGGTGATATTCAGCCATCTGAGCTGCTAACAAAACATGTGAGCATTACTTGTTGAAGATCTGACTTCACCTCTCTCATGTTCAGCTTGCTTGTCTATAAACTGGGGGAAGTACCTCACTCTTCACAGAGCTGTGGGGAACTGGTGATAATGGGCAGGTACCATGCCGAGCAGGTACTCAGCAGTATTCCTCACACAGATGGACACTTTTGTTGCAAGTTACTAGTCAGGAATGGTCTGAGAGGCCCTGAGACACCAGAGATCTCCTACCTTTGTATATATATGCCAGAGGATGGGACAGACACAGCCAAGACTGTCCCAGTTGTTAATTCTGCTTGTCCCCTGGTCCACCATCCCTTTCCCAGAAGAATAAGCAGTATTCCACTTGTGCTAACACCTACCCACCTGCCTCACCCCTACACAAAACACAGCTGGCTCAGTCCAGCCCGGGATGCTCCTCACCAGACAGACAACCATCAGACAAATGTCCACATCACGAATACCTGGAAAAGCGTAGCGACCCGAAGGACTCCCAAAATATATATCTCTCCCAGGGCTTTCAAGCTAGAAACAAGGAAGCTGCCTGCTTTTTTCTTGAGATAGAATTTCACTCTTGTTGCCCAGGCTGGAGTGCAATGGTACAATCTCAGCTCATGGCAACTGGCTAATTTTGTATTTTAGTAGAGGTGGGGTTTCTCCCATGTTGTTCAGGCTGGTCTCAAACTCCTGACCTCAGGTGACCCGCCCGCCTCAGCCTCCCAAAATACTGGGATTACAGACGTGGGGCATGGCACCCAGCCCACATTCACTTTCTTTTACATCCTAATCTCAGGGAAAAAACTGGTAAAGCAAGGGCAGGGCACACCTGAGCCTCTCCTACAAGCAAGGGGATCTTCTGATTCTCCACATAGAGAACCAAGAAGGTTCCTGGAACACACTCTGCTGACAGCCCATGAAATCTCATTCCAGCAGCCTCTAAACTTCGCTCAAATGCTACTGATCCCTTCAGGAGAGATTGCGTTGTTCTCCTCTGGACCTGAAAGCCACCTAATGTACTTTTGTAAGGCCAGGCTCTATTGCTGACAATGTTGCCACAGGATACATCCTGGGGCTGACCCGCCCTGTAACCATTTCCCTTCTTTCCTTTTCTCCTGATGAATTGCATTGAGCATTTTCAGTCAAAATTTGCTACTTTGTTTTCTGTGAAGTAGGTCAAGAGTTAAATTATAAATAAATTCAGCCTCATGATTTCTTCGGCAGTGTTTTACCAGAATGTTTAGGAATACTGACACAATTGAGGGTAACGTTAATTTAGTCTTTACAAGAATCCTGGTGGCAGACGGACTTCTAGTAAAAGGGATGTCCTGGAAGGTCACCACTCCCCCCCCCCCCCCCCCCCCCCCCCCCGGCCCCAACACACAAAGGACTTTAGAAACTTCGGGTCTCACTCAGTCTGTGACTGTGAGCTCAGTGATTAGAGGACAGCCTGTCACACAGACAATAAACAGCCAGCCGCCTTGGCTCAGCAGGTCCTGTGTAACCCTAGGGCCAGGCCAGAACCCCAGGAACAAGTCACTTTCAGGTTCTGAGCTTTAGCCTGGGGGAGGTGGACCAGGGAAGCGGGCAATGGGGGGGTGCCTACGGCACCCCGGGATCAAGCCTGCTGAGGGGGCTCTGGCTGGTGGCCAGCAGGCTCGGCTGACAGAAAGTGGGTGGCCCCAGGCGGCCAGGCAGCCTGACCCGGGGCAGCACAGCCGTCAACGGGTCGCCAGGCTCTAGGCTCCGGGGTGGAGACGTGGGGCTGCGGGATCGAGTCGGTCCCACTTCTCGGACCCCTGATCCTCCGTGCATCTTCCCAAGACCGCCAGACTCTGGCAAAGCCCCTCACCGGCCCCTGCCACTGCCGGGAACGCGCCTGCCTGCTCCTGAACTCACACAAGCAACAAGTTCTGGCTTCCTTAGGGCCGCCACGATGTGCTCTAGAGGCCCGGCGCAAGGCGGGAGCTCCCGGCGAGCCCGCGGTGCCCACGCCCCGAGGGGCGCCCGCTGCCGTCGCTGCCCCCCGAGAGCGTGGAGCTACAGGTCGCACCGGCAAGGGCTGCCCCCGGGGCGGCCCTCACAGCGGGACGCTGCGGCATCCCCGGAGCGGGCAACAGGTACGCGAGCGCACAGAGGACCGCAGCCCCGCTCCACCCGCCCCGGCCTTCGCCCCTTACCTCCAGCAACTGCACGTAGCTCGCCGGGAACCAACCACGGAGCCCGTCCTCTTTCTCGCCTTCCCACCAGCCGCCGTCCGGGACCTGCAGCAGCGTGATCAGCTCACCCGCGGCGAAGCGCAGCCCCTGGCCGTGCCGCTCCCCGGAGAAGGGGTACAGGGTCCGGCAGCGAGAGCCTGACATGGCCTTGGCGCCCGGGTTCACAGCGCAGCCTGCATCCCCGCCGAGCCCCACGGGCTGGGCAGCGGCTCCGCGGGGTCCCAGGCGCCCGGCGCTCCGGGCTCCCGAGCTCTGGGCGCGCGCCGTCTCTGGGGTGCGCAGGGGGTCCCCGGGCAGGCAGGGGACGCGCGCTCCGCGCAGGGAAGCGGAGACTCACAGGCTTCGCTGAGAGAGCGGCGACGCCCCCGGGCCGGGCAGCTCGCAGATCCCAGCTCTGGGCCGGGGGGCGGGGCTCAGAGGGAGGAGACCCAGGCACCGCGGGCTCCAGAGACAACTTCCCGGGAACGCGGAACGCGGGCTACCGCCGCGAGGGCCGACGGTGCGCGGAAATGCGCAGCTCCCCTGGGAGGTGGGACCGGAGCATCCCCCGCTGCAGGACTCCGCGGCGCGGGAGGGAGGGGCGGGCTGCGTGGAGAGGGGCTGGCGGCCGGGTGGCCGGGCGGGGGCTCGCTCGCGGGCGATGGGGGCGGGCCGGGGCGGGGCCAGGACGGCCACGCCCGCGGAGGGCTGCGCGCTCCCTCACAGAGGGGCCTGTCACTGGGGAGAGGGGTTCCCACTCGCGCCTCCACCGCCGGGGGCCACGGGAAAGGAAACGCCCCTCTGTTCGGTGTCTGCTTTGTAGGCCTGGCGGAAGGGTGCCTGAGAGGTGTCTGCGAGGGATCGTTTGTGGCCGTCATTGTAGTGGCTGAACCTGGGGTTGAACTTGACTCACCGGAAACTGAACAATGGGTGAAAGGCAGGTTTGAAGCCTGGCGCCTCAGCCAAGCAGCTGGGTGGCAGCGTGGCACGCTGGAGGGACCGAATGGGGAGGAGACGGGGTCGGAGTTGATAGCATTGGAAGCAGTCGATGGGGATAGATGGACGGTGAGAGGAACAGCCCCAATGCTTTGCCTGCAGAGGGAAGGCCGGCCTCGGGTACCCGCCCTCCTGAAATCGAGATGGGCCAGCTAAAGAGTCTACACTTATGTAGTCGGTCAACAAACATTAGCAGGAGGCTGCCACGTTCCATGCGATGTGCCAGGAACTACAAAGATCATTTGGGCCAGTTCCTGCTCTCCAGGGACCAGTGAACCTGAATGCTGCAGAATGTTGACCTTGAACTGACCGTACAGAAGTAAAAGAAAGCTCGGATTCTTTGCTAGTCTACTCCATTAAAAAAATAATAATAAAATAATGTACATTTTCTAGCCTGTAAATAGCTGGACCCAGCTGGACTCAGTGGCTCATGCCTGTAACCCCAGCACATTGGGAGGCTGAGGTAGGCAGATCACCTGAGGTCAGGAGTTCGAGACGTGCCTGGACAACATGGTGAAGCCCCCATCTCCACTAAAAAATAGCCAGGGATGCTGGTGGACACCTGTAACCCCAGCTACTCTGGGGACTGAGGCGGGAGAATCGCTTGAATCCAGGAGGCAGAAGTTGCAGTGGACGGAGAGCGCACCATTGCATTCCAGCCTGGGCAACAGGAGCAAAACTCCGTCTCAAAAAAACAAAACAAAACAAAACAAAGCTGGACCCTTTAATTCCCCTGTATACCTCCATCTTCTCCTTCCCCTATTTCCCAAGTCACCTTCTATGTCTCCCTATGTCTGCCTTTTAAATTTCGTACAAACTTCTCAGCCTTTACATTTCAGGCTCTCCACAACACCTCGTCTAGCCTCACCTCTCACTGTGCCTGCCTAGATATCCATTACAAAACCAGTCAGGCGGGGCTCTAAGAGCCTGAAGACCTTGCACACCTGTCTATGCTTTGTATCAAACCCTGGCACAGAGCCTTTCACCTAGTTCAGTAGTTCTCAATCCTGGCTGCACATTAGAGTCATTATGCAACTTTTTAAGAATACTCATGCCCAGGCTTTAAAAGTCAGTATTGAGCCCTAGTCTACAGCTAAGCCGTATTACCTAAGCAGCCTCCGGCTGGTCTCTGGCCATAGGCAAAGTGACATATGCAGATTATTTGTAGGCCATCAATTGCAAAGTCATGAACATTTGCTTGGCCAGAAATATAGGGAAACAAACTCTTGACCACAGTCACCCCTAAGAGTTCCTTGACACAGAGCTGCATAACTTCATATCAAAAACAGTCATTAAAAGGCCAGGCGTCGTGGCTCTTGCCTATAATCCCAGTACTTTGGGAGGCCAAGGTGGGCAGATCATGAGGTCAGGAGATCAAGACCATCCTGGCTTAAACTGTGAAACCCTGCCTCTACTAAAAATACAAAAATGTAGCCAGGCATCGTGGCACGCACCTATAGTCCCAGCTACTGATGAGGCTGAGGCAAGAGAATTGCTTGAACCCAGGAGTGAGCAAGAATTCAACCAAGAATTGCTTGAATCTTGGTTGCAGTGAGCCAAGATCGTGCCACTGTACTCCAGCCTGGGCGACAGAGCGAAACTCCATCTAAAAAAGAAAAAATAAGTGAACACATACATAGTTATTAAAAGTAACTGGCCTAATCAAGTTTTAAAAGACATAAAATTCCTTGTATCAGGAAAATATGTGATACAATATATCTAGCAGGCTGTTCTCAGGCTTCATTCCTGATGATGTCACCTGAGTCAGGGTAGGACAACTGATTTACAGCCATCCTGCAGCCCCAAATTATCTGGAGTGCCCGTGAGAAACTGTGATCCAGTTTGGACTTGAGAAATCTCAGCCTACACAGCATGCCATACACTTGAGCTCGATGTGACCCACCTCAAACATTCCTGCAGCAACCAAAAATGATAATAGCTGTTAATTTCTCCACTTATTTAATTTGGTTCCTATAATCCTATGAGCTGATGAGGTGACTGTTGCCCCAGTTTTCAGGTAAACAAGCTGGGCTCAACAAGTGTGACTGGCTCACCATCGTACAGCTGATCAACAGCAGAACCAGCTTTGAACTCAACTCTAGCTTATTGTACACTGAGTGTTGCTTTCTGGAGTCCGCCCTGCCAGTCAGAAAATAGGTATCCTAGAGACTCACCCACAAGTATCATCTTAAGAAAAGACTCTCTGGGCTGGGCGCCGTGGCTCATGCCTGTAATCCCAGCACTTTGGGAGGCCAAGGCAGGCAGATCACGAGGTCAGGAGATGGAGACCATCTTGGCCAATATGGTGAAACCTCATCTCTACTAAAAATTTAAAAATTAGTTGGGTGTGATGGTACATGCCTGTAATCCCAGCTACTCAGGAGGCTGAGGCAGGAGAACCACTTGAACCAAGGAGGTGGAGGTTGCAGTGAGCAGAGATCACTGGAGCTGCACTCCAGCCTGGTGACAGAGCGAGACTCCATCTCAAAAAAAGAAAAGGCTCTCTGGTGATACCCAATATAAGTCTTGATAGAAATAAGACTGGACTCGCAGCTAGTGGAACTCCTGGCCCTGATCTCTTGTCAATCAAGTAACCTCTAAATCCTCAAGTCTTCCCATACCTTTGGATCTATTTCCCCATCTGCAATTGAAGATTGAATCCAGTAACTGGAATATGGGACTTTAAACGGTTAAATGTAGTTAGTGGTTAAATTTGGCTCTGGACTTCCTTTATTCAAACCCCATTTCTGGCACTTTCTACCTGTGTGCCATTGAGCAATTTACTTACATCTGTGAGCCTCATTTTCCTCATCACTAAAAGAAGACCACAGTAGTATTAATAGAGTTATAAGGAAGATTAAGTGAGGAAACATGTAAATTGTACATTAAATACCCATATATTAGCAATTATTTTTATCTATTCAGTTCAAGGGTCCTGTTAATTTATTATATAACATTTCTTTTTTAACTAAGATTTCTAGCACAACAGAAGTAGAAACTCTTACATCTTTGGGATGCCAAAAATTTAGTAGAAACGCACTCCGGCTCTCTGTTTTCTCCCAGGATCTTGAAGGAAAGATAAGTTCCTCCCTTATCAATTTTCCCTCCTGCCTTCTCCCTTTCTGATCTTTTATTGCTATCTTGAAATTTTATTTGTCTTTAATGATTTTGCTTTTTTTTTTTTTTTTTAATTGAGACAAGATCTGGCTGCATTGCCCAGACTGGAATGTAATGGTGTGATCTTGGCTCACTGCATTCTCCACCTCCTGGCTCAAGTCATCCTCCCACTTCAGCCTCTGGAGAAGCTAGCTGGGACTACAGGTGCACACCACCATGACTGGCTGCCTTATTTTTGCTTTTAAAAAATATAATAATTAAGTTGCATTTTATTGGTTAGACGTTTAGTAACTCAGGAGAGGGATAGCATCTTTGTTTTAAATTTCCATCTTTTTTTTTTTTTGGAGATGGAGTCTTGCTCTGTCACCCAGGCTGGAGTGCAGTGGCATGATCTTGGCTCACTGATTGCAACTTCTGCCTCCCGGGTTCAAGTGATTCTCCTGTCTCAGCCTCCTGAGTAGCTGGGATTTCAGTTGTACATCACCACGCCTGGCTAATTTTGTATTTTCAGTAGAGATGGGGCTTTGCCATGTTGGCCAGGCTGGTCTTGAACTCCTGACCTTAGGTGATCTGCCCACCTCTGCCTACCAAAGTGCTGGGATTACCAAACTGATGGCATGAGCCACTGTGCCTAGCCTATATATTGTTCTTAAAGCCTAACATTGACTCATACAAAAAGCAGGCATTCAGTACTTCTTGAACTCCTTTGGTATAGATTGGACCCTCTTCATATTTAGATTTTCCACTTGCTAAGTTATTGTTGTTTTTGTTTTTTTTGAGACGGAGTTTCGCTCTTGTTACCCAGGCTGGAGTGCAATGGCGCGATCTCGGCTCACCACAACCTCCACCCCCTGTGTTTAGGGAATTCTCCTGCCTCAGCCTCCTGAGTAGCTGGGATTACAGGCACGCGCCACCATGCCCAGCTAATTTTTTTTTTGTAATTTTTAGTAGAGACAGGGTTTCACCATGTTGACCAGGATGGTCTCGATCTGTTGACCTCGTGATCCACCCGCCTCGGCCTCCCAAAGTGCTGGGATTACAGGCTTGAGCCACCGCGCCCGGCCGCTAAATTATTGTATAAACGTGTGTCAGAGCTTTCTCTAGACACTGTGCATTTGATAGTTATGTAGTGGCTGATACCTCATTTCTACCCAAGACAACTTTATACGCCTTTCCATCAGCCTGTGATGGCAGAAAAGTGGAAAGGTTTTAATTTATTTAAAAAGTTAAACATAGCCAGGCATGGTACCTCACATTTGTAATCACAATGCTTTGAGAGGCTGACCTGTTGGATCCCTAGAGGCCACAAGTTCAAGACCAGCTCAGACAGCATAGTAAGACACCTGTCTCTATAAAAAAATAGATAAATAATAAAATAAATTAGTCACAGGATGTGACATGTCCCTGTGGTCCCAGTTACTCAGGA